GCTGGGTAGAGCACTTGTCTAACATGTGTGAAGCCCTGAATTAAAAAAAAAAAAAAAAAAAAAATCCATTTTGCTTTGGCTTTTCTTTTTTTTTTAATGGCAAGGACAACAATAGCAAATGCTAAAATGTATTATTTCAATTTAATTGACATACAACACATATCCAGAGAGAAGGTACATGTTTACTGATAGGTTCTGGCCCTAGTATAAATTGCTAAAATCATCATGGTGGTCATCTAGTATGGCCAATGCCCTTAATCAAAAGCCCATCTTCCCCAAGACCACCTCCCCCTTCTTCTCCAACTCAGCCCAGGATACAGTTTCCTTCCCCCCTTCCCACTGCCTCAGGGAAGACCCCCAATCAGTTCCCTCAGGTATATCTAAACATCCCCTCCAAACTCCACCCCTGGCAAAGGCCATAAAAGCCTCAGCTTTGTTCCAACCCGGAGAGTTGCTTGTCTTCCCCAAATTCTTTTCATGTCCTCAAAGAAAATAAAGCCCCTTTCCCTTTTTTTTTTTCTGTTTCTCTGCTGTGTTGGTTACCTGAAAAAATCTATCATTTACAAAGTAAATATATCCAACACCTAGATCAAGCTCCAGGCAAGCTCCAGGCTGTTACCAACATCCCCAGAAGTCCTGTTATACAAAATAGAACTTTTATTGACTTCAGACAAAAAGTTATGCAAAATATAACTTATTTTTTGTTTGTTGAGACAGGGTCTATTAGCTCAGGCTGGCCTTGAACTCAATATGTAACCTGGGCTGGCCTCCAACTTGTAGTGATCCTTGTGCCTCAACCTCCTGAGTTCTGGGATTATATTCCTGTGGTACTACCAGGCAAATTATAACCTTTAAAAAAAATTTTGTATTAATTTTCTACCATGCCTTCCATATCCATGGTTTGAGCTTTCTGATACAAATACAGCCAACATACATAAACTCTCTAACGACATGAATTTTTTTTCTAGGCACAGGCAACTGGAAAATTGCTTAGCATTAAGTAGGAGCAAAAAATATCTATGGAGCAGGGTGTGGTGGAACCAGGCTGTAATCTCATCACTTGGGAGGTTGAGGCAGGAGGATTTCTGTGAGTTTGAGGTTAGCTTGGATGAGCAGCAAGACCTTATCTCAAGGAAAAATAAAAACAAAAAAATACCTGTGGAATGAATAAGAGTGTATCACAGGCCTTAGAGGAATTGTTTCTGTGGCGCTTTTCTGTTTCATTACGTGTACTTGTGGATGTTGTGTCTTTGTGTCATGTCTACATTCCATCAGTCACAGTGTAAACACTCAGAAAGTCCCTGCTACGGCCTGACATCACAGTGTACTTGGGGTGACTGGACCAGGGAGGGAGGTGGAGGAGCACCACGTTGACCAGCACGACTTCTGCATTCGCATCAGGGGACATGGCTGAAATGCAGGTTCCGATTCCAGTTCCGAAGGTTGAGAAAGGATGCGGAGCTCCAGCTCCTGTCAGTCTCTCAGGTGCTGGCCCAACCACATCTTGGGTAGCAAGGCCTTGGACACAGATGCACTCAATGCTGCTGTACACAGTCACAAGGAAAGCTGTAAAAACCACCACTGTGCCCCACCTAGCACCATTAACCTGGAGTCACGGGGGTGGGACTCAGTGTCCCCGGCTCCAGAAGCTCATCACCTGACGCCAAGGGGCTGCCGGAAGTGGGCAGCGCTGGGCTAACTGTAAACTTGGGCAGGCAGGCAGGGGCAGAGGCCAGATGTTTCAGTCTTTGTTCCCCAGGGTCCTGGGGGTGCTTAGATCACCGAGCTGCGGCCCAAGAGAGCTGAGGTGCAGAATAAGGGGTAGTGTTTGGGCCGCCATTCTGATTGAACAAAGGCAAAGGGTTTCAGAGTCCAAAAGAGCCATCAGCCTTTTAGCGAAGATGGAGGGAGGATTAAGAAGGCATCTTGGGGTGGCGGGGGGGGGGGGGATTTGCTAACTCAGGCCACGTCCCCCAGGTGCAAGAACAGACCGCGCCCTCACCTGTCACCCAGGCCGGGGTGCACTGCCCCCACGCAGTTCAGTTTTCAAAACCTTACTAGGGCATTGGGAGGCACCGCCACTGCCAGCTGCGCCCACACACCTACCCCCTCTCAAGCCAGAGTCACAGCCAGATGAGTCAAGGGATGATGAAACCCTGAGGTCAGTGTGGGCTATTCGTTCCTGAGGGAAGCACCGGTGAGCCCCGGATTCTGCTGCCCCCTGGTGGACACCGAGAGTTACCCACCCTAACCGGATGCGTGTGGATTAAGATTTGTGGTGTGTTCAGGCATCTTATTTTATTTGCGGAACCAGGGATTGAACGCAGGCCCTTGTGCTTGCCAGGGAAGCGCTTATTCCACTGAGCCATCCTCGGCCACAATTTTTTTAAAGGTAAAGCAAAAATAAGGGCTGGGCCTTGTAGCCTTTTCTTCAGCTGCCTGAAACCCAACTATACCTGGAACCCCCTGGTCCCAAGAGCAGAAAAGTGCAGCAGTCAGGACTTGCCTTCAATCCGTGAAGTGTTTTTCCACTTTCGTGCCCTTCTGCAGCTCACCTTTTGCTCAACTCTTGGCCTGGGGTGCAGATGCTGTGTGGCCTTGACTGTATCTCTTCCCTCCTGCCCAGGCAAGCCCGTGCCAGATGCCTGTTCTGGCCACCCACCACTCCTTCCACCGGGAAAGCTCCTTTTCATGTCCCCAACCCCTGACCTGAGTTTATCCAGCCTCCTGTGCACCAAGGCTGACCTGAGTGCCCATGTCCAGCTGACATGTTTCGGTCACAATGACCCCAGTGGTGACAACAGAACCCAATCTCAAATCCAGCTCCCTCTCCCCTGTTCCTCTGGCTGGCCTACTTGTCCAGAAACTTGACTCATGTTCTTTTGCTTTGTTGAGACAGGGTCTCACTGTGTAGCCCAGGTTGGCCTCAAAGTTGTGGCGAGCCTTCTGTCTCAGCCTCCCAAGCACTGGGACTCCAGGATCACTAACCACACTCACAAGCTTTGGATCTAGGCATCCTCCTTGTTCCACCCCCTCGGCACTCTGCTGCTGCCTACAGACTCCCAGCTTCCTGCCTTGCTTTCTCTCAGCACTACTCTAGTCCACTTAAAATTACCTCTCCAAATCCTGACATGGGTTTCTCATTCAAATTCTGATCAAGCACCGTGGAAATGCTAGAGGCCAACTATATATTTCTAGTTGGACAGAACAAATCAGCAGTCTGTTTTCTTATTAATCTGTTTTTAATAAGTCTATGCTTGCAGGACACAATGACCACATTCCTGGTGGGGGTTGGTACACACATGTAACACATCTCAGTTCTTTTCTCCTCCCCTACTCCCTCTTTCCTTCCCTCCTTTGGTCCCATTCCAGCAGGCCTGTTCTAGACAAGATCCCCACACTGGGAGGTTTGAAGGATTAGACAAGATAATACTCTGACATTTACTCCCTTCCGTGGTGTTATTACCGCAAGTGTTCTCTAGATGACCTTGCTGACTTCAGACTCTCTGCCTACACTGAATTCCCCACTAAGCTCCCTCCAACATCCATTTCATCACCTCTCCCTTACCCAAGAACTTAGCAATGCCCGCTCAGTCCCCCTAGGCGTCCAAATCCCACTAGCTCCAAGGAGTCAGTTCGTCATGAGAGTCCAGGAGGACCCAGAAGCCACAAGCAGAGATCAAGATACGCCTGTGGCTTAGAACAAGGAAATCCTGTTTCCAGAAGACAAGGTGATCAGGGCCAGGAGTTCAGGGAAGTGGCTAGGACAGTATGCTGAGTGCTGTCAGCAAGTACACAATGATGACTTCTGTAGTAGGTTTGTCCCTAATGAATGCAAGTTCCTGCCTGCCACGGTGGAATGTGCCCGTAACCTCACCATGTGGGCAGCCTGAGGCAGGATCGTCGTGAGCTCAAGGCCAGCCTGAACTACACAGTGAGACCCTGCCTGTCTTTCTTGGCACAGGATAGCTGTTCTTACCAGAGTTACAGCCCCAGATTTTTTTTTTAAATTAACAGGGATCAAACTAGGACCTTATGTTTGCCAGGCAGATGCTCATGCCGTTTAGCTATCTCCCCGGCCCCAGGTGTTCTTTTTTTTTTTTTTTGGTATGAGGATCAAACTCAGGACCTTGTGTTTGCCAGGCAGGCACTTAAGCCACTGAGTCTCAGATGTACTTTTCTTTTTGACAGAGGGTCTCACTACGCAGTTCAGGCTGGCCTCAAACTCGAAGTGATCCTCCGACCTCAGCCTCCCAAGTGCTGGAAGTACTATCTGACTTCTGAAAATGCACTTAAGTCTTGTTTAAGACTCATTATTTGGCACCCTTGTGGAAGTGTGTATCTGGGGATGCAGGGACACCTAACAAAGAATGTTCAGCCAAGGGAATGGTTCTGGGGACTCGAGCAAAAGGAGTCTTTCATTGGTTGTGGCATCTTGTACAAGAACTCTAGAAGAAGGAGGTGGGCACTGGCTGTATCAGAGGTACCAGCCGGAAGCTGACTGCAGGGCAGAGTTCTGAAGAATGTGCTCATGGTTCCAGGAAAGCCCACTGGCAAGGGGACATCTCCCTCCTGCAGAGGGAGCCAACACAGCCATAACTGTACCAGTAAAAAGCTTGCCAGACAGACAGAGCAACACATGCCTGAATCTCAGCCACCTGGGAGGCTGAGGCAGGAGGCTCACCATGTTGAAGGTAGCATGGCAATTCAGTGAGATGTCTCAAAACTAAAAACAGAATGGGGAAGCTGGGGAGTAACTGTGGGACACACCTGGGTTCAAGTCACAGTACTATGCCCCCAAAGGTTTTTGCTTCTTTGTTCTGCTCTGAACCTGAGGGAGTCAGAGGCAGTAAATTAAGAAAGCAGCAACTCCTTGGCCAATGAGACTCGAGTTTTGTCACTGCAATGGACCTAAGACCAGTTTAGCTGAGTGGACTTGGGTTACATGTCTAGGTCACAACCGTGAGAGATATAATATTCTTTAAAACAACAACAACAACAAAGTATTCAAGCATTTTATTAAATCAGATGAGGAATCTCCACATTGCCACACATACAGGCTGCGGACATTAGCCAGGGCACAGCTTGATTACAGGAGGGTGGAGCCTACAATATGCAGCACATACACAGAACAAACAGCAAGGCCACACGAGCACTAGCACAGTCCCTCAAGACAGAGGTCACAATTCAGCCTTCACCTTCCACTCACATGTATCTTAACAAGGAAAAAAATCTCTGAAGACTAGCAGACTGTCCATAGTCAGGTACAAATTTCCTTCCGGAACAGGAAGCCTTTTACAATTGACTGACTTTTTTGACTGGAAACAAGCCCTAATCACAGAGAAGGTTGGTTTTTCAGAGACTTACTACAGTGTAGTACATGACCTTGATTCCCACAGTGCCTTGCAAGTCGCAACACTGAATAATGGCCCAATAAAAAACATTGTGAAAATTAAGAGATTGAATAGCAACACAGTTCAGCAGGGCTGCAAAGTAACTGCAGTCTACTATAACTTAGGTAAGTGAGAACATACGGACTTACTGGGGTCGTACTAATTACTTGAGTAATTTAAGAACATACTGACTTTTCATCTAGGTGGCAATTTAGAGCTGTCCTAGACCAACAGTTGATTATCAGGCTTACTGTGGTGGTGAAGTGGAAAATAAAGCCTTTACTCGTGTAGCCTCATACTTTATGCTTATCTATGTGACTCCCACCCCTGAGAGCGGGGAGCTAGGCAGGATTGAAGATTCTCCTACAAGCTTTACCTCCACAGCCCGCACCCCCCGCCTCCCAAACCTATACAAGTTCCCCTGCTTTAAGCCAAAAGCTCACCCCTAGATTCAAACTTCCTCAACTAAGTTTATAGGTAACATGCAAATGAGGGGACAGAGTTGAATTCATTTACCAACAGCAAACATAACACATGTATGCTATTACCCACTACACAGATGTGGATAAACCACAAAGGCAACAAAACACCCCTATTAAACTTTAAAAAAAAAAAAAAAGGAAGAAAGGAATTTTGAAGGAAGTAGCACTTCTATTTTAAAGCAGTTGAATTATCCCACCAAATGCTTAATGACCACAAAATGTTTCTGTGACTAAAAGTAAAAGGAGAGTTATAGGGAGTCGGGGATACATGTTAGATACTAACGATCTTCAGCTTTGAAGATGTCATTGCATGAAGAAAATTATGGGAAACACTGTTCCCGATAATTACGTACACCCTTAGTGTAACATATGGAGAGCACTGTCTCCGATATAGACACTGTGGTAGGCAAAAACTACCTTATTCTTTATACATTATGGAAGACACTGCTCCTGATAATGTCAGTTAGGTTTGTGACAAAGGTACTGGAAATTTTGCAAAACTGGAGTTCAAGTTATTCCACAGACAAATTGAGCTATAAAATTTTGTATATCTGAGTACTAACACAGCCTTTAAGTGACACTTATAACATGGTCAGAATTCATTGCATTTAGGAGACCTATCAATTTTAGCTGGCCAGCTAAACAGAAATTCATCTTGATTAGCAATCCTAATTAAATTTAATTTTCCCCCAATACTTAGTGTTACCATTTTATATGGCTTGGCTGTTTTCTAAGATCCTCAAGTTTGACCATAAGTGCAAAACTTCCAGTATCTGTTGGGTTTTATTAGCAGATGCTGCTTTTATTAAAAAAAAAAACGACAGTATAACTGTCATAATTATGGAAGGCACTGCTTCCGATAATTATCTTCTATAAAAAAAAACATTTATAGTGAACTCTGTCACTGATAAATAAATAAATATCTCAGTGCCAAAATGATAGAAAGCTTTACCAAAAGATTAACACTTTGGCCAAATTTGGCAAGGTGTTCTTTAAAGTCTGACAAACTAAGTCTAAAATTAAATGCCTAAGACGGGCTCTCTTTTACAACTCTGGGGAACAACAATAAAGAACTAAAGAAAGGCTACGAAGCAGGTCAGAAGAAAATACGCTAAAGGTCTTTGGTGTCTGGTCTCCACCTGAATGATATCGAGGCTCACACATTCAGTCCTTTCTCCAGCAATAAACAATTGAACCTCACTCTACCCAGTGGAAGGACTCTCATTTCAGGCCTTTTTGGCAAGAAAATAAGCCCTATCTCTCTGAAGGCTAACTGTTTCACTTGGGGATGCCAAGACCAGCTGAGTCCTTACGGGAGCGCGTGTTTTGCCTGGAGAACGAGGCTTGCTTCTGGCAGCTGCTGCCAACACCAAATGCAATGGAGGATCACATGGAGCCACTTCTCTGTCCTCCAGGACAAAGCACCTTCTTCCCATCTCAAAAGACACCAGCCTATGTCCTTGGGATTTACAGCAATAGTTTGTGTAACTGATTCTCACATTTTCAGCAAAGTATGCAAAGAGGCAGTTACATTAAAAAGCACTTAAATTCTAGAGATAATCAAGGAAAAATTTTAAAGTGGTTTTTCACTTTAACTTGAAGTGCAGGGACCTACCTGGTATTAAAAGCTCTGCCTAAAGACATCTAGTATTATCAAGATGACTGGATAGAACTGTAACATAGGTTTTGTAGTCCTACGAATTTAGCATAACAAGTATAAGTCTAGAAACCAAAATACCCTGTTGTTCTTAAATTAGTTATGCTTATGACATTAAAACTCATTGTCAATATCCCAAATGTCACCAGAGAGGGCATTTGCAACACCTTGAATTGTCCAAGTAGCCAGTGCCAACTGGTTCCTAAATAGCGTTTCATTAAAAGTAGCCTTATTGTCCTTATGCAGCTTCAAATTCTCCAGTAAAGCTTGCAGAGTGTGAGAGCCGTAGCCCCAGAAGATGTGCCGGAAAGGAGACTCCCTCGGGGACACGTAGGGTGACAGGAAGTGGTACTCCACCTGTGCAAGTGAGATGACAAGGTGGCATGCGCAGTGCTACAGCCCTTGTGAGCAAGAGACCCTCACCCTCCCACTTCAAATGTTAAACTGAATTTAGAACTGAGTTACTGCTTTTCTCAGGGTAAGATTTGGAAGCAACCTGCCCAGGCCTTCTTAAAGTGAACTTTAATCATACTGAGATTTTTTTTTTTTGTTGGAGAAGATATATAGGTTTACAACCCACACTCAAAATACTTGTTTCTTCTTCTCTTTCTTCTAGTGCTGTGAGTTGAATCCACAACCTTGTGTGTGTTGAAAGCAAGTCTAACAGAGCTACATCCACATCCCCTAAAATATGATTTTTTTTTTTTTTTTTTCTGGTGGAACAGGGATTGAACTCAGGCCCTTGCATTTGCCAGGGAAGTGCTTAGTCCACTGAGCCATCTCCCCAGCCCCTAAAATATGATTTTAACCCTCCCAAAATTAATATATCAAATGTCTCTTGTTATTTTCAGATTAGACAGGCTCATTTTAGATCTCGATAAATGTTAAAATCTGCATTCAAAATTCTAATGTGGCGAAGGACTCTAGGCTTTTAGCTACCCCACTTTTTAGAAATGCAAGATTAACCAATAAAAAATGTACACACTTAAGCCCCTCCGTCCCATGGACTTCACTGACTTTCTATTCTTTTCTTTTCTTTTTTTTTTTCACAGTACTGGGGATTGAACTCAGGACCCGCAAGCGCTTATTCTACTGAGCCATCTCCCCGGCCCCTTTACTTACTTACTTTCTTTTTTTTTTTTTTAATTTTATTTATTTGTGTGTGTGTGTGTGTGTGTGTGTGTGTGTGTGGCCAGCTCAGCCCACCAGGGGGCGGGCTGGCTGAAATGTGGGGCTGGGGGATTGAATGGCGGTCCCTGTGCTTTGCTAAGCTTGTTCTGAGTAGGTGCTCTAGACCACCGAGCCATCTCACCAGCCCCCCCTTTACTTACTTTCATAATGCGATCATTTAGCTCCTTCATGATGAATCTGTTAGTTCTGTCAGCATTGTGGAAATCTGTCATCAGCCTGGAAGCAGCACGGAAGAAGTCTCCACGAGCAGAATACAGCCACTGCAGGCTCAGCCCTATCTCCTGGAACGGAAAGACATTGCATTCAGCGTGACAAAGGTGTTATTCCTGGACCTTTCTACCTTAAAGGTGGCAAAGGGAGAAGGTTCCAATGAAAGGAAGTGACTCACAGAAAGCTAGGTTTTAGAAATGTGTACAAGAGGCTCTCTAGACCCTGAGAACATACTCATGTTTATCCAAAAGATAGTACAATTATCCATTCTTTGTATTATTAGAAAACTGTTTCCATTAAGAAATGCAACACAACTACTTAAGAAAAATGCATCATCCTATACACTATACTGTTCTCAGTTCACTTTCCCTATGGGGAAAAGCTTCAAACATTCTGATTAGTCAACTTCCAAGTTATTTCCATCTGGTAAGTCCCATTTTCAATAGTGAAAGAGTTTGAAGGTATACTTAGGATCTGCTGATACAGGATCAACAATACCAAATAAAATTACACAAGAAAATGTACAGTCCAAACTTACACTGGAGATCTTGGGGCTGTCCAGGTCATACCTACATATGGGCTGACAAAACAGCTTTCCACTCTGCAACACCTTTATAGTCTACCAAGGACCCGACTTCTTTTACAAAGGAATTATGAATTCTAAGCAACATTATAGCATTCATTTTATGTGGGTGGTTGTTTGTTTGTTTTGTATTTTTAGGGAAGGGTCTACAGGGTGTTCAGGGTCTCACTACTAGATCAGACTCGTAGTGATCCACCTGTTTACAGTCTCCCAAGTGCTGGGATTACAGATGCTCGCCACCACGTCCAGTCTCTATAGCTGTCTCAGTGTACCCCACGGGTGGGGCCGACATGGCAGGCCCAGGGATTGAGCCCCTGGCCCCTGCGCCTGCTTGCAGGCGCTTTAATCCGCTGAGCTATTATTTGGCTAGCCCTACTTTATGTGCTTTCGGTTACTAATCATATCCCTCTTAAGAAATATACTTCAAACCATGTAATACTCCAGAAATAAAAACCTAATCTCACAAGAGTGTGACTTAGTACAGCCGTTATGAGAATGGTGTGGAGGTGCCTAAAAAATTAAAAAATAAAACTATATGATCCAGACATCTCCTGAGTATACATTCAGTGGAACAAAATTAGCATATGGAAGAGATACCTACATTCCTAATTAGCATATGGAAGGAACACCAACATTCCTGTGTTCATTGCAGTCCTATTCACAGCACCTCAAAATGGAAGCGCAAGGTATCCACCAGATCAGATGACAGATGGACAAAGAACACATAGTTGGAACATGTAACGGTGGAATACCATTCAGCCATATAAAAGGATGAAATTCTGTCATTATGACAATGTGGACAGAACTACAGATCATTCTGTTAAGTAAAATAAGCCAGGAACAGAAAGACAAGTATATTGCATGATCTCACCTATAGGTGGAATGTGTAAGTCCTGGTCTGCTATTTTTTTTTTTTTAATTTTTTTTATTTATTTGTGTGTGTGCGTGTGTGTGTGTGTGTGTGTGTGTGTGTGTGTGTGGCCAGCTCAGCCCACCAGGGGGCAGGGCTGGCTGGCATGTGGTGCTGGTGCTGGGGGATTGAACCATGGTCCCTGTGCTTTGCCAAGCTTGTTCCAAGTAGGTGCTTTAGACCACTGAGCCATCTCACCAGACCCCCCTGGTCTGCTATTGATTATAAAGATGATGCACTACTTTATTTATTTATTTATTTATTTTAGATAGGATTTCACTATGTAGCATTCAGGCTGGCCTCAAACTTACAGTAATCCTCCTGCCTCAGCCTCCCGAGTGCTGGGATTACAGGTGTGCGCCAGCACAACTGGTCAATGCATTATTTCAAAAAGCTGCAAGATTTTTGGTATTTTTCACCACTAGGAAATAATGGCTGAGATGGGTTTACCCTGACTTAACTACCAAGGGGCCGGGGAGATGGCTCAGTAGAATAGGCGCTTGCCTGGCAAGTACAAAGGCCTGAGTTCAATCCCAGGTTCCACCACAAAACAAAACAAAACTAAACAAAACAAAAAAAAAATCCCAAAATTATTACACAGTGAACCTTGCATCGAAATATCACATGCACTTCCCATAAATCTATGCAGTTTTAAATTTTTCAATGTATCAGTTAAAGATTTTTTTTCAAAAAAAGGTCTCCCAATGTAATTCTGCTAGACCACAACCATGAGTCATCAGGCCCTTAAATTATAAAATCAATTTTTAAAAAACACATAATTGCCAAATAGCGCTCACCTTTATGTCTGCTCTGTATTTCATCAGCTCTCTCAGAAATGATAGCATTTTGTTGTTATATATCTCATAGTCAAGGTTCAATTCAAAATCATGGGTCAGTTTAATCACAAACTGACCAGCGACCTCCGCTGCTGCATACATCAATTGGTTCAACTCAGGAATCTTCTTCAGCAGCATATCATAGGTATCCAGGGTGGTACCCAGGTAAGGATAGTCTGTGTCCTGGAATTAAAGGAAGCAACTGTATTCTGCGTGCCAGAAAGTAGGAGCCGCGCATTCTGGCTTCATCAAGGTTGACAGTTACTGCCACGCCCTCTTGTTTCAACTGCACTCCCACCCTACTTGTATCTCCAATCTCTTGCTACTTTAAGGTCCCACCCTTGCCACCATCCAGATCGGATCTATGCATCTTGCAGGCGCTTTAATCTGCTGAGCTATGCATAGAACAACTATGTTATGGTCTGCGTCTAGCTGTCCCCACAAAGCCTCATGCAGGCACAGAGCAGACTTCTAGAGTTTGTGATTAAGTCATGATCCAGTGCTGGGATTCTGAGTGTGAGTGCTACACCCGCCCTGGAGCGGACAGCCCAAAAGCAGTGTAAGCAAGGGAAAGGCTTGCTCTCTACCACTGTTCCTCCCTTTCTCTTCTTGCGGTTTTCCACCACCGTGAACTGCTACCCTCTGCCATGTGCCACTCACTCTGCCTTGGAGCCAGGTGATTATGGACTGAACCTCTACAAACTGAGCTAAATAAGCCTTTCCTTCCTTACTTTTAGGTGCCAGGTATCTTGTCCCAGCAACAAGAGAAAAGTAACAGAGTGAGACTACTTTCCTGCAGGTTCCACAGAACCATGTTTTAGCACCTCCATATTCCCCGAACACATTTCTGGCCAACCTCCTTGAGGCTCTATCCCTTTTCTCTGGCCCATATTAATGGGTATGAAGAACACACATGAAAGGTAATTTCAAAAAAAAAAAAAAAAAAGGGGGCTGGTGAGATGGCTCAGTGGTCTAAAGCACCTACTGAGAACAAGCTTAGCAAATCACAGGGACCGCGGTTCAATCCCCCAGCACCACATGCCAGCCAGCCCCGCCCCCTGGTGGGCTGAGCTGGACACACACACACACAAACATAAATAAAATAAAATTAAAAAAAAAAAAAAGAAAGGTAATTTCAGGGGGCCTACCCTCAGGTGCTTAAGTGCCTGCTGAAACAAAGTAGTCAGACTCAGGATGTTGTGGTTCGATCCCCTCATCCTCAAGCTAAACCAGACCTGCCCTGAAGGCATTCTGAGTGCTCCCCCAAAAAATCTTTCTGCCATTAATAAAAAAAAAAGAAAGAAAAGTAATTTCAATATAAGGTACTAATCTTGCTGGATGTTATCCACACACTTGTAGCCTCCCAGCACTCAGGAGACTGAGGCAGGAAGACTGCTGTAAGTTCAAGGCCAGCCTGGGCTACACAGCAACTTCGCCTCCAAAACAAAATGAAACTAAACAAAATCATCAATGTAAAGTATTCTTTTTTTGAGACACAGTCTTTTATTTTGTAGTGCAGGATTATAGGCCTGCACCACCATACCCAGCCCAAAGTATAAGTATTATTCCTAAGGCCCAAAACTACCTTCTTCTTCATCATGCAGCATGCAGGCCACTCATGCACATTATATTCATAACAAAATCATCAGTGCTTCTTTAGGCACAGACTTAGATGTTTACTGTTTTAACTTTTTGTTGCCTTTGGTTTTTAGACACGTCTCCTTTGTAGTTCAGGCTGGCCTAGAACTTGCAGGAATACTCCAGCCTGAATGTATGGAATACAGGCGTGCACTACCACCCATGGCACATTACACAGAGTTACTATGTACTTCTTAATGTTAACTCTTTTCTGGACCATTGTCCTTGGTGGCAATGTCACTGAAAATCCTCGGGCCCAATCTCATCCAAACTACATTCTCTACGACTCTTCACCAGTGCTTGGAGGTCTTTCAACTCTCAGATCACATTGGATGGTTTTTTTAAAAAGTCAACATGAGGCCATCAAGATAGCATATAATGCAATATAAGGGAGGGGCCTGGTTCTCTGCCAAAGCTGCTGCTCATTCTTTTTTGCGCTTGTAGTTTTGTTTTCTGCTGCCATGAACTGCTGCCCTCTGCCATGTGCCACTCTGCCTTGGAGCCAGCTGAGTACGTATAAAACCTCCACAAACTGTGAACTACATTAATCTTCCCTTCCTTAATTTTGGGTGTCAGGTATTTTGTCCCACCAATGAGATAAAAGCAACCGAGACACCCTTCAACCATAGGCCCTGATCCCAGTTCATTTTTCCTGTCAGTAGCACCGAAGACTGAACCCTGGGCCTTGGTAACAAGCTATAACTGACTCATCCTCAGAAGCCCTGCTGCAGGGCTGGTCTTCCAGTGCTAATGTCAGAGCACAGGGCCTTGCTCCGCAGCCAGCCTTTGGTACCTGCCAACTGGCTCTTGTGCGTAACCAGCAGTATTTTCTTCAAATGGTTAGTTAAGTTCTGCCTCAACAGTCTTATAGAGATGAGGAGACAGCTCAGCAGCATAAGTGCCTGGCATGAGCAAGGTCCTGAGTTCAATCCCCAGTACCGCAAAATAAAAAACAAAACAAAAAATCCCCCCACTTATACCCGATTTCTGTGCTGTTACCTATAAATCTGCTTAAGAGTAATATGGCAGGTGGGCCAGGGATATAGCTCAGCAGCATAAGTGCCTGCCTGGCAAGCACAAGGTCCTGAGTTTGATCCCTGGTACCACAAAAAAAAAAAAAAAAAAAAAAAAGTTTAAAAAAAAGAGTAATATGGCAGGACAAAACATCTAGGACTCCAATAGGTATCTACATGTTGCCCAAGTAAAATTTTGTTTGATGAAAATACTGTAAACTGAGCTATTTACTAGGTAGCTACTGGCCACTTAATCACTGATTTAAAAAACTCAGCATACTCCACTGAAGCTTAGCAATAAACTGAAATGCTAATTAAGCAGATAATAAATTTATGTTAAGACTGATAATAAGGGACCATCCAATATCTGCATGTGTGTAACTTCTTCAGACCACTGAAGTACTCTATGAAACCTGGTCTCAGTTCAAGTAAGAAGACCAAATGTGTACTACTGTAGAGTTCCTTAGACTTACCTCACAAAAGCAGAAAGAGACTGCTGGAATTCCAGAGTATGCAAGGAAAGGGAAAGCTGCATTGTCGAAGGAAAGTTTCTCACTGCAAGGAAAGCAAGAGTGTGTCTTCAGATGACTTTCTGAACAGACTGTGCTACCACGCAACCCTCCCCTTGCCCCAGCATGTTCTCCAGGCCAGTCTCCAACACAGCTAGCTCACTGCAGGTGAGGGTAACGCAGTAGGGCTGCGGGTGACTCTGCTTTTCTCCTAGCTTGCCCTCTTTCCTCAACTTACACTTTGTTGATCCAGTTGCTATCTTTGTATAGAGACTTTCCAGTAACTGGATGCTTCACCTATAAAATAAGAAATGAAGTTCATTTTATTTTACTATTTTTTGTATTTAGGACAGGGTTTACAGGGTCCCACTGCATAGATTGAACTCATAGTGTTCCTCCTGTTTACAGCCTCCCAACTGCCAGGATTACAGGTATGCATCACTACACCCAGTCTAATCACGGCTGGTATGGCAGGCCCAGGAATCGAACTCCCAGCCCCTGTGTCTGCCTAAGCAGGTGCTTTAATCCACTGAGCTATTTGGCTGGCCCTAACAAATGAAGTTTATTAAAAAATGTAACTTTTTTGAACATATCTGGGCTAGGCACTAACATCTCTATTTATAAAAATCTTGAAAAAAATACTTGAGGAGGGGCTGGGGAGATGGCTCAGGGGAATAGGTGCTTCCCTGGCAAGCGCAAGGGACTGAGTTCCGGAAAATAAATAAATAAATAAATAAATAAATAAATAAATACCTGAGACAGCTAAAATAATCTCAGATTTCTTAGTTTATTCCTACTCAGTTTGTATTGTCAACACTTAAGAAAATTGACTTTTTTTTTTTTTTTTTGCGGTACTGGGGATTGAACTCAGGACCTATTCTACTAAGCTATTTCCCCAGCCCCTTAATTGACATTTTAAAAAGCGTTGAACTCTAATCTTAAAAGCGCTCTCTGGTCTCCATGGTGTTTCTTTTAATGTCCTCCATGTAGCATATTCTGTACTGCCAGCCCATACCCAGCAAACAGGTTGGGTGAGACCCAGTAAGGGTCTCTAGATTCCCCAGGAGATTAAAGCCCTCACCTGGTACCTGATCTTTTCTGTTTCCACTTTAATCACTCCAACAACCCCTTACGGAGGTAAATATTCTTTCTCACATACTCCTCCCTTGTGTAAAACTATGGTCATTCATGTGTTTGTCACTATTCAATGAGTAACTCATCTGCCTTATCCAAATTCACTTAACCCTTGTGGGTACCTTCAGGGCAGCTCAGGCCTCCAGTGTTGTTACCATTCCCAAATGACTGCACCTCTACCACTCCCATCACCTGGGACAGTTCAACGGTAAGCTAAGATTACTTAAACAGTGCTCCTCCAAAATGGACTCTAAATCCACTGATTATTGATCATGGTTTACTTTTCTTCTACATAAATTTGCCAAAACGGTTGCTACAATTTTGTAGTTAGGTGTATACACACTCACCTCTTGCATCGTTTTTTCAATAAGTTTGTATAACATTGGGCTGCCAGTAACCTTGAAGTTTGAAGAACCTGCAAAAAATTTTATTTTAACATTGCTTCTTTTCCAGTCAAGCAATTTTTACACTGATACAATTACAAGCAACAAGTACCAGGCATTATGGTGCACATAGTGCACACAGCACTTGTAGCACTATGTACTACAGGCATGCAGTCCTACATACTACATAGTAAGGCCCTGTCTTCAAAAACAAAGCACTTGGCAAACAGAAAGACAGCACCCTAGCTCTGTAGCCATGTACAGATAACATGGTCAAGTAGAGTAGAAGTAATTTAGGAGTCACGTTCTTTATCAACTATGGAATTCTAACTTGACTCCAGGCTCTTACTCCTTTTCTTTTCTTCTGTCTGTGTGGTTTTTTTGAGGCAGTTCTCACTATGTAGATTAAGACGGCCTGAGCTCACTCGCACCCTTGGCTGGCCAAGAACTCAGCGATCCTCTCACCTCAGCCTCCTAAGTGCAGAGGTTACAGGCATGCACCACCATGCTCAAGGCTCTTATCCCTTGAACCTGCATATTTTAGTGATGTTTTTCAAGAATTTATCTTTGGGGACCGGGGAGATGGCTCAGTAGAATAAGCATTTGCCTGGCAAGCACAAGGGCCTGAGTTCAATCCCCAGTTCCGCAAAAAAAAAAAAAAAAAAAAAAAAAAAATCAAGAGTTTATCTTTGGATTAGCTTTACATAAGCAAAATTAGAAGGTTCAGTGATGTCCCACGTATTTATCTATATGCTCCCCACAAATGCCCTGATATCTGGATTTTTTTTTTTTTTAAACCATTTCATCTCACTCACTTTGTAGTTATAGGAAGCTTGTTATACTCAACAGATTTCATTCTAGATGGGTGGCTTAAGCACCTGTCTGGCAAGTGCAAGGCCCTGATGCCTGGCACACCCCCAAATTAATTAATTCCACTCCATAGGTCAGTGAATGATGATCAATCTCAGAAAAATTTTGGTTTAATTGCAACTCCTTTCTTTTTCTTCCCAAAGCTGACATTTCACTACTGTTTATCCTCTCTCTTTTTTAACAAAACTACTTATTTATCTGGTACAGGGTCTTGCTATACAGCTAAGACTCATAGTGATCCTCCTGTCTCAAGACTTCCCAGTGCTGGGATTACAGGCGCATGCCACCACAGTCAAATTCAAAGTCAACTCAGTGCCTGGGGCCCACACAGCATGGATCAAACCAGGTCCTTGAGCTTGCCAGGCAGGCGCTTAAGACCGCAAAGCTAGCTCCCCAGCTCCTATCCTCTCTTTAAATGATACTCAAATTCATTTTAAGGCTTACTGCCCAGTATTTCTATCAGTGTATACAATCCAGGAAGACAGAAGTTGTACCAGAGGGACAATGCTATGATTCCCTCTCAGCTAGAGGTTCTATACTGTAACAGTTTGCTGGGCCCACATTCCAGTTTCTGACTCAGAAGATGTGGGCTGGGGCCTCAGATTTCTATTCCTCACAGCACTGATGTTACTGATCTAAGAACACTGAGAACCAGTGCTCAACAAGACAATCTGTGCCTGCCCTATAACATGGAGGATTATTTACATCTAGTTATGGCCCATGTGAGCTGTGAAATTAACAAGGTTCTCCTTTAGAAAGTTTTTTTCTGCTATTTCATAGTTTACCTGATTTAAAAAAGCTAGTGAAAGAGACACTTACCAAGAACAGCTTTATCCAAATTAATGTAAGTAACAACCTTTAAATGTAAAGAGGTAATGTATCCCTAGAAGAAAAGACATTAATTTACATATTAACATAGTGTAATAATACTTATTCTGAGCTGGGCGTGGTGACAAACAGGACCCCAGCAGTAAGGGATGCTAGGTGGGAAGTCACAAATCTAAGCCCAAACTAGATGACTTAGCAAGACTCTTTCAAAATTTAAAGAGACTTCCTGTGTCATGGCGCCCAACTGTAAGGCCAGAGTGCCTTGATTAGAAGCACTCAGCTGATAGACCACCTTTTCTTCAAAGTAAGTTCTACTGCCTGAGGGCTTGTTGGAAGGATCCTCAGAGACCTTCAAGGCATGAAATGGTGACATTAAGGGTTGAGAGCTGGGGCTGGGATGGAATTGGGTGAGGTCTGGAAAGCAGCAGCCAGAACAAGTTGTGGTAATCTACAGCCTCTCTGCTTAGCTCCAGACCCTAAAAGGTCTTCCCAGTCTTTGGTGCTGCATCATCTTCTGCCCCTTCTCCCCTTTGCTCAGGCAGGGGCAGTTCTGGGTCCCCGGCATATTGACCCCACTTCTTGGGTGGCCCTAGGAACAGCTCTATCTCTGCCTATCTTAGGAGAACAGGGGCTTTGGGGAAACTGGTTCCATAGTCAGCAATGGAAAAATACCACTGTAATTACTTATGTGAGACCTCTGCTGGGTGGTGATGTCAGTGCAGGAACAGAGCTCGTAGCCTCACAACACTGAGGAATGAGGTTGTGAACCAAAAGAAGGGTGCTGAGAGAGATTTTATTGGAAATAAGAACTGCTGACTGATTTCCAACAAATGTTCCAAGCTGGTGGCCTAGAGGCCGTTCACTCCAGAACTAAATATAAATAAAAAGAATACAGTAATTGCTCAGTTGTTTAGTGACCACTTATCACACACAGGTGGTTTTGTGGATTTAAAACAAGCACTTTGAACTCAAAATCCTTAGCCCATTTCCTGAGCATGCAGGGTTTAAAAGGAAACTGAGATCTAAGAGAAAAACTGGCTATCTAGTATTTTATTTGTCCTGGAAACTCAGGAGCTTAGTAGGGAGTGGAGGCAACTCTTTTGAGCAGGGAGGGAACTCTTATTTCTTCTTGGGCATAAAGTTTATTCTTGTTCCAAGTCCTACATAACACTGTTTTATTTTATTTATTTATTTATTTATTTATTTTTTTGGTGGAACTGGGAATTGAACTCAGGCCCTTGGGCTTGCTAGGCAAGCACTTATTCCACTGAGCCATCTCCCCAGCCCCTTTATTTTTATTTCTTATCAGAATGGCTAATTTCTCATCTCTATGTCAAGCCCTTCTCTAGCAAGGTGCCTTACTTATAAACTAAGTAAAATATTCTTTAGGATTATTTAAGTGAGGCTTTCTAGAGTTGTGAATACTAAGAAAGAAGAGATGTTAATAATGTTAGCAAGAGAGGGCAGTGTGTTACTGCTAGGGACAACTTCCTGCAGGGGCTGTCTCTTAACCCCACACAGAAATGAATTGAACTGGGGCATCTACAGGGACAATGTGATGTTAGTATGACTGGAAAGAAAAAGGGGTATCTTCTCTGAAGTAATTTCAGTACTTCTTGGACTGTTTCTAGACATTGTTTTTAAACACTGGTTGAGATGAACTTTGTATAAAACAAGTACTATAGGAGAAATAAATTCCCACAGGTAAGTCTGTGGAGATATGCAAGAGTAGGAATGATAGGGGTTTTCTGAATACGTGAGAGTGAAGGCTAGTGAAAAGGAAACTGAAAAGCAATGGGATTTGGGAGGGAGGCAAAACCAGCAACTATAACAATTAACTTCTTCAGAAGTCAGATTGTTCTTAGTGTATAAATGAAAGACTGTTTGCTAGCTCAGCCTGAGAGTGGGTCAAAGCTCACAGGCCTAATCAGAAGGGAACTCAGTAACATGCTTCTTTTGTGACTGTCGATCAACTCATCTACTCATTTTTTTTTTTTTTTTCCAAATTTATATATTTGGGGGCTAAAGCACCTGCTTAGGCAGAACACAGGGGCCAGGGTTCAATCCCCGGGGCTAGCCATGCCGACCCTGCCCCCAGGCTGCAGTTGAGACTGGATGTGGTGGCGTGCACCTGGAATCCCAGTGCTTGGGAGGCCAAAAACAGGAGAATCACTACAAGTCCAATCTACATAGTGAGACCTTGTAGACCCTGTCCTAAATACATTTAAAAAAAAATTAGTATTTGGCATAGGGTCTCATTATGCAGCTCAGACTCATAGTGATCCTCCTGTTTCCAGCCTCTCCAGCACTAGGATTACAGACATGTACCACAATGCACGATGCCTGGACTTGGTGGCTGGCTCAGTGTACCCAGGGGCAGGGCTGGCATAGCATATGGTACTGGGGATCGAACCCTGGTCCCTGAGTTTGCCTAAGAAGGCACTTAGTCCACTGAGCTATCTCACCAGCCCTTCACTTACACGTTTTTGATAAAAGATTGGAAATTTGGAAACTGGTCTTGTTGTAAGTTTAAAACCAGTGTGGATATCAGCCCTGAAGCAGAATCAGAAGAGTTGCTCTTGGATACATAAGATTTCAAGATATGTCTGATGTTTTTAATCGGTCAGGGACTGAATTCAGGAATTTTACACTTAGCTACATCTTCTCAATTTTTTTTTTAAATCAGGTCTTCCTAAGCTGTTCAGGCTGGGGAGAACTTTTCACGTTTCTACACGTTTTTGACTGTGGGTATGACAGACACGTGCTCCCTTGCCAGTTTAAGACTGAGCTTCTTTAAATCACCATCATTTACCAAGATCTCAATGCTTGGGTAAAATAAAATCACTGAGGCACGGTGGTTCATGCCTTTAATGCCATCCACTTGGGAGCCTAAGACAGGAGTATTAACTCACCAAATCCAGCCTGGACAACTGAGCAAGACCCCATTTCAACATAAACTAAGTATTATGGGAGGTACATCTACTCTAACCTGATGACTGATGTGCACGAGGGGCTTGAGTTAAGTCTCTAGATGTAAAGAGAGAAATAAAAGTTATTTAGTGTAAATCTTAATAATTTTGTATTTTACTCAATTTTCACACTACGGATACATGCTACAATAGTTTCTCATGCTGGAGATGGTAGTAAGGAGTGACTGCTCTGTCAGACACAGGACAACATGGGTGAATAACCAGTGATTTATAGTGGACTACTTTCAATAAAGTATATGAGATATTTTAAAAAAATTTAAAGAGACCAGGCTGGTGGTACATGATTATAAACCCAGCACTCAGGAAGATGAGGCAGGAGCAGAGCATCACTTGAGTTTAAGGTTAGCCTGGACTACACAGCAAGGCCTGGTCTAAAACAAAACTAAATAAACTTTTTTTTTTTTTTTTAATGAGCAGAAAAATATGTAACACTTCACGAATTTGCGTGTCATCCTTGCGCAGGGGCCATGCTAATCTTCTCTGTATCGTTCCAATAAAACTAAATAAACTTTTTAAAGGGGACAGGAGGGCCGAAGATGCAGCTTATTGCAAATGCCCTGGGTTCAATTTCTACTGTTGCACCCAAGAATAAAATACTAATAAGATGTTTTTATTCACAGGCATTCATCACAGATGGTTGCTGGTATTAGGGATTCGTTTTGATATCCAGATCCAGTTGAGACTCACTGCCTGGAGATCAGTGGGATATGAGCCTTCACAGAGTGAATCCTCAAGGTCAGTTTAAATCTACAGTAGATTCAGGGACCCCCCTCAGCACGGACAAAGCAAATACCTCTAGCCATTCAGTGGCACCAATGGCTCCAAAGTCTCCAGCACTCCAGCTGACAAAGATAATACTTCTGCGGGGTTTAAATCCACCTGAAACCAAACAACAACGACAAAATTAGCGTTTCCTTGGGAAAGGTTCCAGGAAGGTAAGTGACTGGTAACTGAACCAGAAGCTTCTGATTCAAGATAACAGATTTCAAAAGTAGATTTTTTTTTTTTCCCCCAGAACCAGGGATTGAACTCAGGTCCTTGTGCTTGCCAGGGAAGCGCTTATTCTACTGAGCTAGCTCCCCGGTCCCTAGATTTTTTTTTTCTTTTGAGACTCCAGGTAAAAGAACACTAAAGGATCAAGAATCCAATTTTCAAGTTACCTACACAAGAGGCTTGGAGATCATCTGCATGTAAGGTGCTGGCTCACTTGGAGTCACCCTTTTACTGCTCTATTCTTTGGGGGCCTTACCCTCCAGACCAAAGATGCTTGAAGTTACAGCAAAAACACAATGCTTGTCTTCCTCAAGAACAGTTGGCTGGGGCACAGTTTAAAAAATGCAGTTACTTTTATTTTTTTTAAATAAAAATTCATAAATTTAAATAGCACACTTCAGGTAACTTTCACAACAGCGCCTGTGGGCACTGCCTGCGCTGCTGCCCTACACCACCCATTTCCCTGGGTGTGGATTCTCCTGCATTATGGTCTAGAAAGGTTAAGCACTGCAGTTACCCTACAGCCCAAACCAGCAAAGGTGTGCATGTGGCAGAAGGGTGTGGAGCAGCGGCGAGGCCCAGGAGCGGCAGCGAGGCCCAGGAGCAGCAGTAAGGTTTCATCACACAGAAGGTGCAATGCCTCTGCTGCTAGGCTGATGCATATTACGACCCCATTTCATTCTTGAGGTGCCAATCTCAGAATTAGGGCTCAGGAGAATACTTCTTAGTGTCTCACAGAAACTCCTGGTTCCCATCACCAAGAATGTACTTCAAGAAGAATCATTTCAAAGCCAAAGGGCAGCTCCAAAAGACAATCTACTTTGTGTTTAAGAACTAAGCATCAAAAAATGTGTAATAGACATTGTGAAATAGGAAGAAAATGTTCCAGTGGGAAGGAGAACTAGGAAGGAGGCAAGAAGGAAAGAGAAAAAACTGCAAAAAGAGAAAAAAATGGAAGCAAACTTCTGTAAATAAAGAGGAAAAGAGAGGTTGAAGGGAGAGTAAAGGAGGGGGGAAGAATAAAGCTATATCATATACAGGGATAAGTTCCTTATGATAAATGTGGTAATTTTGCATACTTAAAATGTACCAATAAACCTGTTTTGTTTTGTTTTTTCATTCAGTGTAGGGGGATACAGGGTCTACAGGGTCTCACTACGTAGATCACACTCACAGTGATCCTCCTGTTTTCAGCCTCCTAAGCTAGCCTGAAGGACAGTGTGAGACCTTGTCTTAAAAAAAAAAAAAGTGATCCAAGAAATCAAAACAAAAAGTAAAAAGATTAAGATATATACACATACCAACTCCCCACAATGAAAGTAATCATTATATGGGACAGCAACATAGATCAGTGCTCTAAAGTGTCTGCTTAGGCAAATGTAGGGACCATGGTTCGATCGCCTGTACCACATGCATGCCAGCTCCACCCCTAGGGCGGCCTGAGCCAGCCATACACACAAAAAAGAGAAAATAATTATTATATACTATAAACATGTATTAATAAAAAAAATTAAAATAAATTAAAAATAAAGGTCTTAAAAAGAACTGAGGGTCGGGGCCATGGATATAGCTCAGTGGCAAAAGTGCCTGCCTGGCAAGTACAAGGTCCCAAGTTCAATTCCTGGCACCAAAAGGAAAAACACACACACACAAAAAAAAAACTGAGGGGCCAGTGTAACAGAATCTTAAAAAACAAAAAACCCCAACAACAACAACAAAACACAAAATTCATAAAAGCATGTATCATCTACAACTGCAGTATGTTCAAAAGTCTGAAAGTTTTTACTTTACCATTTAAGACCATATCCGAGAATGTCCGGGCAAGTTCCAACAGAAGAGCAGTTCCTACGCTGGACTTCGCAGCTCCGGGACCCCAGGAATCCCTCTGGGCTCCCACTACAACATAGCGATCTTAAAAGAAAATAAATTTTACCAATCAACCTTTAAACGATTTTATAATGCTAAAGTCTCGATAGAATAAGCACGACAATAGAGAAGTATCAATGGGCATGGTGGTGCACACTGGAATCTCAGCATAGAGGAAGCTGAAGCCAGTGTGGGCTACATAGAGTTCCAGGCCAACATGAACTATACAGTAAGACCCTGTCTCAACAAACCAAAAAGAAAAAAAGAAAAAGAAAAAACCTAACTTCAGATCTGATTTAGGATGCCAGGAATTAAACACAGATTTTCTAACAGCTTCTAACAAATCAACTTCCTAATGCCTTGTTATGTCCCAATAAAGCTGATAAGGGCCAGGGAGATGGCTCAGTGGAATAAGCGCTTCCCTGGCAAGAGCAAGGGCCTGAGTTCAATCCCTGGTTCCACCAAACCCCCCCCCAAAAAAACCCCAGAACTTATAGGGGCCTGGGGAGATAGCTCAGTAGAATAAGTGCTTGCCTGGCAAGCACAAGGGTCTCAGTTCAATCCCCAGTTCCACCAAAAAAAAAAAAAAAAAAAAAAAAGCTGATAACTAAATACCTTATTTTATTTTATTTATTTTTTTTTTTTTGCGGAACCGGGGATTGAACTCAGGACCTTGCACTTGCCAGAGAAGCGCTTATTCTACTGAGCCATCTCCCCAGCCCCAATACCTTATTTTAGAACAAACAAGATTTAACACTTCAGGGCCAGGAAGATAGCTCAGGAGTATAAGCACCTGCCTGGCAAATTTAAGGTCCTGAGTTTTAGTCCCAAGACCAGGGGGGAATCTAACAATTCACAACACTAAGCCAGTTTTTATTCTTTAGAAGGTAATTATGGGGGGAAAAACACAAAACAAAGGCTTTACCTGGCTCTTCAACACCTTTAATAACTCCAAAGATGTTAAGAATCCTTATCTCTTTCAGCTCATTTTGCACAGTGAGCTTCACATTCTTATTCTGTTTCGACTGCAGCTTACATGTATGGTCTGTTCTCCAGCTGGTGGGACAGTCTCCTTCCATATTTCTATAAGCAAAAAAACAGGCATCAGAGTTCTGAGTTAGTTACTCCCCTCAGGTTTAGAAAGTCAGTTCCATTTTCTGACTCCAGCAAGTTCAGGTTAAAAGGACACAAAGAGAACACAGAAAATTCACTCCCTGGCGGCCACTTGCACCCTGCTCTAACATACAGGCAGTCCTTTGAAAATCATGAATTACTTTCTATTTTATTGATTGATTGATTGATTGATTGATTGTGGAACCGGGGATTGAACTCAGGCCCTTGTGCGTGCCAGGCAAGCACTTATTCTACTGAGCCATCTCCCTGGCCCCACCTTATAGTTTAATCAAAGTTTTCCTGGGCTGGCTTAATAGCTCAGCAGACTAAGCACCTGCTTAGGCAAGCACAGGGACCGGGGTTCGATCCCCAGTACTACCCCTGGGTGCACTGAGCCAGCCACCTAGACCAGGCATGGTGATGCATGCCTGTAATCCCAGCGCTGGGGAGGCTAAAAACAGGATTACCATGAATCTGAGCTAGGCAGTAAGGCCTTCTACCAAATACATAGAAAAAAGAAAAAGAACAGTAATCCAAGTTTTCCCAAAAGAAGCCTCTATCTATTCACATCTAATAAATACGCTCTTCTGCCAAAGACAAAAGTATGGTTTACATTTAAAATACATACCAAGATAGCCTCAGGAGAGGTCACATAAAAATCCATGAATATATTTTCATGCTTCTCAACCCTTCCTGCTTAACATTCTTCTCAATTACAAAGAATATTTCTGTGTGATTAGGTATCTTCCCAACTGATTCCTCACATTACTCAAAAAATAAGTGCTCCAAGCATGTAACTTGCATAAACATAAGACAAAACATTATTGCCTCTTATAAGAAGGAACTGGCTTCACAGGTTGGGAGAGACAAGCACAGTGAGTCAGTGAGACTCACCCACTACAAATGCCTCTTAGCATGAACAGTCACATGGGATTTACAAAGCCCTTACATATAGATGCTCTTCACTTGTGGTCAACCATTCTAGTAAGTCGGATCTCTTACCTATCAATACAACTAAATAGATAAAACAGATTTATTTGTCTGTTTATTTATTCATTTTGTATTTAGGACAGGGCCTACAGGGTCTCACTAGGGAGATTGGACTCATAGTGATCCTCCTGTTTCCAGCTCCCAAGCGCTGGGATTTCAGGCACACACCACCATGCCCAGTCTTAAACGCTGTCTCAGTGCCTTGGGGGCAGGGCTGGCATGACACGCAGGGGGATGAAACCCTGGCTGCTGTGCTCTGCCTAAACAGGCGCTTTAGTCTGCTGAGCTATCTGAATGGCCCTAAAACACATTTACAGGAGTGAGAGTAACTCAATCTGTGTCAACCTGATGCTTTAAAAGAGTCTGAAAATAGATATCCAGTCTGTGATGATACCAGGTAAGAAATATTCCACATCAAGATAAAAATGTGCCAAACATTGTGAGCACACCTATACTCCCAAAACACTGAAAGGTGAGGCAAGACAATCACAAGTTTGAGCCCTGTGTGTAATTTAGTGAGAACATCTCAAAGATTAAACTGAGTATGGTGGTGCATGTGTAATCCCAGCACTTGGGAGGCTGAGACAGGAGGATCACAAGGCCAGGTTGGCACACATAATGAGTTCTAGGCCAGCTTAAACTACACAGTGAGTCAACATCTCAATAACAAAACAAAGCAAAACCAAGCTAAGGATATAGCTCAATCCTAAGGCCCTGGGTTCAATCTGCAGTACCAGGAAAAAATAAAAACAAAAATAGATGACATATATATATCAATTAGACTGTCTTTTTTTTTTTTTTTTTTTTTCTTTTTTTTGGACACAGGGTCTCACTGTAAAGTTTGGACTGGCTTTGTGCTCACTTCTGTAGTCCTCTGGCCAGTCACAAACTCGAAGAGATCCTCCTGGCTCAACCTCCTGAGTGCTAGGATTATAGGCATAAGCCACCACACCCAGTTCAGGAGCCACACAGTAGGCCAAGATGGTGTACCTGGAGATCCAAGGCCAAGGATCGAACTTGGGTTCTTGTACTTGCCAGGTAGGTGCTTATGCCTCTGAGCCACCTCTCCAGCACATCTTTCTTTCTTTCTTTCTTTTTTTTTTTTTTAGATGAGGGTCTTGCTCTGCTAAGCAAGCTGGTCTGGAACTTCAAGTATGCAGTGACCCTCCCAAATACCTGGGACTATAGACATATGCCACTATGCTCCCCTAGGCTCTAGTTTAATTTTTTTTATTTTTATTTATTTTTTTTGCAGAACTGGTGATTGAACTTAGGCCCTACTGAGCTATCTCCCTGGCCCCTTTAGTTTTATTTTTTGATGGATCTTCTTTTTGTTTTTTTATTTGTCTGCAGTGCTTATTTTTTGAAGCAGGCCATCACTATGTGATCCAGGTTGGCCTTAAACTCATGGTTATCTTCCTGACTTGCCTCCCAAGTGCTAGGATTATAGGCATGAGCTACCATACTTGACTGGTTCTATTTTTTGTCCTTACCATTGTGTTTTTTCTTTCTTTCTTAGTTTTAGGTTCTTTTGTTTAATGAGACAGGGTCTCAACTATGCACCCCAGGCTGGCCGGCCTTGAACAAAGCCATCCTCCTACTTCAACCTTCTGAGAGCTGAGATTACAGGTGTGTGCAACTCCAGCTTTAGGTTCTATTTTTAAAGAAAGATTTTACTACTCAAAGGAGGATATCAAGGAGAATCAATTGTCCCAGTAAAGCATCTAGAAAGTGTCATGAGAAAGGAAGACATATAGTCTGTAACAGAGAGATGAAAATCACTGTGTGCTATAATCATAAAAAAATAATCCAGGACTAATGGGCATTACAGGGAAAACTCAACATAAATCCTAACACATTTTCTCCAGTAACAGCATGTGTTGCCATAGTTGACCTCATGCTCCATGCTCCATCAAAGATACACTCAAGTAAAAGCTAAGCCAGAAAACCACAGGAGGATTTCACTGAGGTGAGGTGGACAAGGACTCCTGAGTTCCCAAGTCCAGTATTTATTAACAAGACCACTGCGAAGGAAAGTCTTCTTCATTTTTATCCATATCAAGTTAATAGTTAACCACACTCAAACTCCCACAAGAGTAAAATTAAAACAAAATGTTTAAGCCTTGATCAAATCAAATGAAACATCTCATTTTTCCCTCATCATAAACCTCATCCTGCAAGACAGCTTTCTATTAAGAACTTACCCAAACAGCTGTTCTGCAGCCTGTCTGGAGATGGTTTGGACAGGTATGGTAGGCAATCCAGATGACTGAGACGGTGGAAACTGGGTATGATTGAAAGAAGGGAACCCAGGTGTGTAAGGGTCGCCCGTTCCCAGATGAGCCTAAAAAAACAAGAGTGTAATTAACTCTGCAGGAACTTCCTTAGTAATTTCCCTAGAAGACCTAGACTTGATGAGAGGCCACCGCCCACATGACATTAGCAGCTTAATCTCAAAGTCTACATGACTACAATGTAACTTTCACTCTTATGTAGGACTTGCCAAGTTCTCAACTGACGGCACTACTGATGAGATATTTTTTCTGGTTATTTTTGGGAAGACAGGGTATCACTATGTAGTTCAGGCCAGTCTTGAACTTCCTATATATGTAGCACAAGCTGTTCTTGAACTCACAGTAATCCTGCCATAGCCTTGTGAGTGCAAGGATTATAGATGTGCACCACTATACCTGGTTGATGAAGTACTACTGATGAACAATTACTAGCAGTAAGGTCTCAGAGTCAGTGTACTACAAATCTTGCTTTCTGCTGAAACTCTCCCAAAAAGAGCATTTAAGGAAAGTACAGGTCTATTTCTACTAAGGTGAATGGAATCCACAAACAAGTAGGAGAACTCAGTAAGAACTCACATGACCAAAGACTGGAAGGTCTGCCTTAATGATGGGAAACTTTGCCTGGTCCAGGTATATCAAGACACCAAGTGCATTTAAGCTTGCAGCATTTGAAACCTAGAGAAACACATAAAAAGCTCAGACAATGAAGATCTGATCAAATAAAATGTGAATAACACATACTAGACTTTATGCTAAAGGATCAGATTGTACTCCCAATATTTTCAATAGCATACTTACAGGAAAAAAATTTCATAAAACTCATTAAGAGTATGGAAAATAGAAATAATGAAAATTCATCTAAGACAACCATAGTCTTTTGATGTTTTCCACTCTCTACTACACAGATTTGGCTTTTAGGGTTTTTTTTTTAATACAATATATCTATAACTGAAATATTTGAAATATAGAAAAATGTCATGCAACTGAAGATACTGTGTATTTAAAATAACCCATACTTAGAATAAGCACTTGCCTGGCAAGCGCAAGGTCCTGAGTTCAATCTCCAGTGCTCCAAAAAAAATTAAAAATAAATAAAAATAAAAGTAAAATAACCCATACTCACCTTTTCTGCAAAAGTAATTTTCCCTGCTCTTACAATCACTAAAGATCCATTCACTGAAGTTTTTAAATTCTCAAAGTCCTCTTTAGTACCAAAGTTAGCATGAACCAGTTTACCCTAAAACAAACATAATAGGTTTAATGAAGATCACATCAGATCAACTATATAATATGAAACAGAAGCATTTTTATAGATCAAACCTAGGAGCGAAAACCAAGAGAGGGAAAAAAAAAAAAAAAAAGGGGGCAGGGGAAGCCAAAAAGAGATGAGAGCTTTAAAGTCAAAACTGGCTGGAGTTATCAAGAGTGAAATTAAGCCTGGGCAGGTGGCACACGCCTGTATTCCCAGCACTCAGGCTGAGTCAGGAGGATCGCTATGAGCTCAAGGCCAGCCTAAAGAACACAATGAAACCTATTTGAAACCGGAGTGAAATCAAAATTTCGGGCCTCCTGTAGGTATGTTTTTCCTTATGTCTGACTGCCTTTACAGGGTATTTTCTGGGCAAAAGAAAGGATAATAGGATTTGTTAAGCACAGATGCAGAGCTGGGGAGATGGCTCAGTAGAATAAGCGCTTGCCTGGCAAGTGCAAGGGCCTGAGTTCAATCCCCGGTTTCACCAAAAAAAAAAAAAAAAAAAGCACAGACGCATATAAAGGCTCATCATAGAGGCAACAGTTATGTAAGGTTTCTACACATGAACCTCAGACATTGAGGACATATGTGGAGTAGGAATAGTTTAACTGAAAACTCTGATAATAAACCTCAAAAAAATTTGAAATGCCATACACTAGAATAAAGTATCTTAAACCAATTCTTAGATGATTATTTAAGTTGTCATCATAGTGTTCTAAAGCTCTACATTGCTCCCAAGAGCAGCTATAACCTGATAACACCCAGCATCTGAATATAAAGCTTGCAGATAAAGTAAGGTCCTCCATGTTCTGTAGCTATCTCTAAAGTCATGCCTTGTACATTCTGGAGAAAGTAATACAGGTAACAGAAAGATAATAGCCATCACCTTTCATTTGCACCTCTCAAGTATACCCCCAGTGTGACTTTTAACCTGAAAATACACCATTAAAAATAGTAATAAAAAAGTCAGGCATGATGGCATATGCTTGTAATCCCAGCACTTGCAAGTCTGAAGAAGGATGATGTCCTCAAGTTTAGGCCTAAAGTATCTAGCAAGATCCACCATCACCTCTCACCCCAAATCTACTTGGTTCTTATCTATTTCTCAGGCGAAGTTTTAAAAGCTCAAGCATAAAAGAATCAAATTAAGACCAGACCCCAGCCAGTGTACTGGTTTCTGTGGTGCTGGAGACTGAATCTAGGCCCTCATGTATTGTACACAAGCATTCAACCACCATGCTGCATGCCCAGCCAAGACAAGTATTCATATCTATCCCTGGGTGGGCCATTAGGAATACACATTTACTTAGCAAAAACTCCCGAGTGTCAAGCACTCTGAGACATGACATGAAACTAACCCTGAGTTAGCTCTTCATGCTGCTCACCTACTAGTGGAAACAAACAGGCAGGTGATGTCAGATGTCAGCTGTAAGAAACACTATGAGGAAAATAATGACAGAATAAGGGCAAAGGGATGAAATTTTTTAAAATCTTTTTTAAATGTATTTAGTACAGAGTCTACAGGGACTCACTATACAGATCACTCATAGTGATCCTATTTTCAGCCTCCCAAGCATCAGGATTACAGGCACATGCCACCACACCCAGTCTCACTTAGCAGGCCCTCAGTGTGCCCCAGGGGTGGGGCTGGCAGAGAACAGCACCCCAGGGGAACGAATCCCCAGCCCCTGAATCTGCCTAAGAAGGCACTTTAATCTGCTGAGCATGAAGTTTTTTTGGAAAAAAAAAAAAACCCTCCCTGCTGAAGCAATACTGAAGAGATGTCCATGAAGTAAAGGAACCAACTACTTTGTGTTTAGGGAGGACTGGTGAAGGGAAAAGCAAATTTTGTTCTTTGAGAATGAATCTCACTAAGCATTCCAGGCTGACTTTGAACTATGAAGCCCAGACAGACCTCAAAACTCATGAAAATTCTTTTGCCTCATCCTCCTGAAGTACCGGGATTAGAGGTGTGCACTATACACCCAGATGAATTTTATAAGGGTCTTGAGATGGGAGCTTTTTACGCCTGAGCTTTTTCACTTAGGCAAAATGAAAGCCAGTGATCTCATCATTGAGTTTCACCATGCACAGTAAGAAGGTCAGGGTGACCAAAGAGGTGAGCACTAAGATTTATTTAGGTCTTGCAATTTATTTTTTTATTTTTATTTTTTGTTTGTTTTTTAAATTTTTATTTATTTATTTATTGTGTGTGTGTGTGTGTGTGTGTGTGTGTGTGTGTGTGGCCAGCTCAGCCCACCAGGGGGCGGGGCTGGCTGGCATGTGGTGCTGGGGGATTGAACCGCGGTCCCTGTGCTTTTGCTTAGCTTAGCTTGTTCTAAGTAGGTGCTTTAGACCACTGAGCCATCTCACCAGCCCCTTGCAATTTATTTTGACTGAGACACTTAGAGGATTGAGAACAAGATTGTCTATCTTACGCTCAGTGACATCTTGCAAGTGATTTTGGAGTATAACTCCCAAGAACAGTAGAGGAAAAAGAACAAGGACTAGCCAAGTGAGTCAGCAGAGTTTCCCACACTGCTGGCCTTACTCACAGTAACTGTTGCGGCCTTACTGTACGCCACGAAACCCTCAGGATTCTCCACCAGGTATGACATGTCACTTTTCCCACCTGTCTCAATCAGGGTCACAGAGTTTGGAGCAGTGCTAAAAAAGAAAAAACAAAAGATTAAATTAAAATGAAGCTAAGGCCATTCTTGGACGAAAAATAGGCCAGCACTCCAGAGGCTGAAGGAAAATCACTGCGAGCAAGGCCAGCCTGGGCTACTTAGTGAGTTCAGAACCAGCCTGAACCAGATAGCAACATCCTGTCTCAAAACAAAAAAACCATTAGTATATCTGCATTTGCTCTGTTTCTTTTTTTCTTTCTTTCTTTTTTTTTGCTCTGTGTTTCTTGTCTTGAGGGAATTTTACTCGTATCTTAAAGACTGATTCCTACTTTGAAAGTCTACTTTATTTTCCATACATGAAATTACTTACTCCTGTAAGTTTATCATCTTTTCACACACCTGCTTTTGACCTGAATCTTCACATAGTGTTCATTCCGCCAGACTTTGCTGAGTTTATATTCACTGAACTGATTCTCAATAAAATAGGCGAGAGTCTCGTCATTTGCAGATCCAGCCTCACGAGGGATGTACGTATTTTGATTAAGCTGCCTGGAAGAAAAAAGCCTCAATTAAAATGTGTATTTAAATTAGTGTTTAACTCAAGAATAAAACAAGAACTGATTTGTATTATCCCTTTTAGTTCAGATACGTGAACAATGACCTAAAAATTTGGCATTGCCAGATAGAAAAAAACAATAAAACCCTATCTTAAGGAACATTACTATAAACTTGTTCAAACCTTTGTCCATTATAATACACTCCCCAAGAGCCCCATCCTAATACAACACACCCTTGTAGGATGGCTTTAGGGGAAATGTGCAGCTTTCTGGAGACCCACCATGGCAAGTGCAAGCTAGTGACCCTCCTCTACTGGACAGAGGACGTCTAGCTTCCATCTTCACCTCTCTGAAACATTCTGAATCCCCTGGGTTAAAAGTGTTCATTGTCTGATATCCTCTGGAGTATTTATTTATTTATTTATTTATTTATTTATTTATTTGGTACAAGGTCTTACTACATGGCTCAGGATCAGACTTGAAGCAATCCTCCTGTCTCACACTCGGTCTCAGAGGCCAGCTGGGAGCACCCACAACTGGGATCAAACCCTGGTCCTTGTGCTTTTCCAGCAGGCGCATAGACTGCCAAGCTATCTCCCCAGCCTCGAGCTTTCTAGACTGACTCAATTATTAGAGATATGTTTATTTTTTCATGGACTACCTACATTTTTACTTTTATCCATAATGCCAGCTATACAACATATACAATAGTTAGTCACTGTTTACAGTGATTGATGCACACCCATATTTGTAACAGCACAACTCAATAGTTAAATCTAGGAAGCAAGCAGGGTGTGGTGTCACACATTTGTAGGGAAGCCGAGGCATGAGGATCACCATGAGTTTGAAGCCAGCCTGGGCTACATAGAGAGTTTAATGCAAACCTGTACCAGATAAAAATCCTGACTCAAAACAACCAAAAACAAACAAAAATTATGGAAGCGGTCTTTGTGTCCATCAACAGATGAATGGATAAAAGAAATGTGGTATTTACACACAATGGAGTACCACTCCGCCATAAAGGATAAACTTGGGTCATCTGTAGGAAAACAAATGCACTTTGAGGCCATACTATTAAGTGACATAAACTGGACACATGCACTTACACATTACACGGTTTCTCATATGAGACGCTCAAAGTACATACAAAAAAGGATTAAGGTATGTCATGTACATGTACATTACACGGTTTCTCTCATGAGAAACTCAAAGTACATACAAAAAAAGATTAAGGTATATCATGTACATGTACCAACTCCCATAACGAATGTAATCATGTGCTGCAAACATGTACTAAAAATAAAATAAAACAAAAAACCCTCACTTCCATGCATGGTGACACACACCTGTAATCTCAGCACTTTGGAGGCTGAGGCAGGAGGATTACTTAAGTTTGAGGCCAGCCTGGACTACATTGAGTTCAGCAGGGTGGACCTGAACTACAAAACAAGACCCAGTCTCAAAAAACCAAAGCAACAACAACAAAAAGAATGAAAAAACTCCCACAAAAGTAAAAATGCCAAGATTTGTAATTTAAAACCACTGAAACGGGATGGGGAGACAGCTCAGTGGTAAGTGCCTGAATGGAATGTGCAAGGCCCTGAGTTTGATCCCTGGTACTAGAAACAAAAACAAAAACAAAAACACTGAAACTCTATGAAGCAATCAAAAGGCAAAAGGTTAATTTGTTCTTTATAGACACCTAAGGTAAAAACCAGGGACAGACATGGGCATGGTGGTACTTATCTATAATCCCAGCGTTTAGGAGGTTGAGTCAGGAGGACTGCCATGAGGGCAGCCAGGCCACACAGGGGAGTAGCCTGAACTGCAGAGTGAGACTGCCTCAAAAAACCAAAACAAAATAGAAAACAAAAACCTTAAGAATAAGGTATAAGTTCATAGGTGAGAACCAGCAGAAAATATGGCACACCAGAGCTATAAAGTCAGACACTCAAATTAGCCATGAACCAAGATGAAGAAAGAGCCTGATGACTGGGGACAGCAGCGGGACTCAACATGATGCTATAAAATAGTTCAGTATAACATCAGAGTAGAACAAAGCCTGAGACTAAAAATAAGACACCAAAAACACAGGTTAGAGCAAGTACCTATATGTAAATTTTGAGGAAGGTTCTGAATTCTCTCCCAGCACAGTTCTGATTCCTACTGACCTCTCACCCGTGCCCGAGCTACCAGGGGAAGCCTCCCCTCTGCTTCCCTTGTGTTAGTCCACCGCAGCGGTGTGGCCTCACTGCACTGGTCAGCAGTGTTTGCTCAGATATTGCAGCTGGGAAAGGTTTGGTCAGGTACTACAGTGCGAGCTTACTTGACGGTGCTGCCGAACTTTGCGGGGTCAAGTTTCTTAGACAGCATAGTTTTGAGGTCTTCCCAGTACAAGCGAGAAGGCAGCTGAGGAATCTCTTCCTCTTCTTGCTCCAGGTCATCTGACCCCTTCATCACATCCGTGGCTTCTGTTCTCTCACACTCACCCTTTGGTTCTACACGTTTACAGTAGCCCAGATACCCGATCATAAATCCTAACATAAAAAGTTGTGAAGTTAAATTCATTGAATTCATTTGGAATCTAGCTCTGTAAGAATTATTATTTTCACCTAAGCCCTGAAAATATTGGCATTCAATTAAATTTTAGGTAATCTGAAAGCAAATGGGGCTGGGGAGATGGCTCAGTAGAATAAGCGCTTCCCTGGCAAGTGCAAGGGTCTGAGTTCAATTCCCGGTTCCGCAAAAAAAAAAAAAAAAAGAGTGAAAGCAAATATGGTTTTAAACCACATGATCCACATTTTGTATTTATATATACAAAATAGTTAGGATAGATATACAGCTACTTTCGTTTAATTCAATGAGAAGAAAAAGGTGTACTAATAGTGTTTGGACAGGCTATCCTGTCTGCTTCTTGTACTATGGATAAACCACTAAGAAGATAACAATGTACAATGCATTGATTATGAAACTGTCCTATTAATCAGCTTTGAAAAGTCTCATTCATATTTCTCAATAAAATTAAAATAAAAACCCCCACATGATCCAGTGCATTATACAATAATGATTAAACTGTATAACTATTTTACGGTTACCTCCTTAAAACACGGGTGTATACCTTGTCCTACCAGGAGCCTTCCTCGAAACCTCCGGCTGCTCCCATGTCTCAAGTATCCTGCGCTCCTTCCAGGATAACATCTGTGCATTATACTGCAATGACTCACCGCTTTCTCTTCTCCCACCAGACTAAACTGGCAGGTACAGAATCTTAGTCCTATCATATTCATATTCCTTGCACAGTGGCACTTACAAAGTACAGAAAGAACAGCTGAGTTGAAATAATGGCCTTCCCGCAGCTGGGTGTAAGAAATACTTACCAATCAAGAAAAAGACGGCAACAGCAATAGCACTGTAACAGATGCTTCCACTACATCTTCTTGGTGTTTTGACATTGGCTCTCATGTTATTGTCAGTATTTTCATCCTCATCTGCAGCCAATTTCATCTCCACATGACTGTTATCTCCATCCATGTGCCGGGCCAGACTAAACCGGGTATATGACAATGGTTCTCCACCAAACTGCGATTTTTTTTTTTTTTTTAAGAAAGTATCAAAAAAAAAAAAAAAGAAAGAAAGAAAGAAAAGAAAAGAAAGCATCATATAGATGAAGGAAATTAGGAGCGTTTACAGCAAGTCTGGTCACATACTATACTTGTTAGTAGTCCACTGCTATGACCTATCACATTTTTTTTTTTTTGGGGGGGGGCAGAACCGGGGATTGAACTCAGGCCCTTGCACTTGCCAGGGAAGCGCTTATTCCACTGAGCCATCTCCCCGGCCCCCCATCACATTCTTAAATGAAAATCCCCTTTCAAAATAGCACTGTTCCTGCGCCCACTTCCATTAATGGTAGATGAAGGCTATGTCCCACGCTGGACTTCATCCTATACATCCCTTTCATTCCAGGTTTGATTTTGTACATTTTCTAACACACACACGCACGCATCAACACCAACACCATTATTATTTTAAAGGAAACAGGGTCTTAACTGTTGCCTGGGTTGGCCCAAAACTCCTCAGCTCAAATAAACCTCCTACTTCAGCCTTCTAAGTATCTGGACCCCAGGCACAGGCCACAGTGCCCAGTTCCTACTATACATTTTGAGTCATACTTTCTTAGCTCCTCTCACCTACTTGGCTACCCCCAACATACCCAAACTACCTGAATCTTCTTATCATATTTTCTAGAATTAACCTTAACCCAAACTGAACACAACACCTTCCTCTGTGGGATCTCTTAGACCTCAAAATGACCAGTTTGAGTATACAAGAATGCCTGGTCACAGTTTGGGGCAATACTGCACACTTGGTGGGAAAAGCTTTGATCATGTATCTCACATTCTTCCACACACAGACCTGTAATGGAAAACATCTTACCAAGTTCGAGAATGTGGCTCTGGCTTGATTCATCATTCTGAGTAGTCACACAGAAGAATCTGGTCATGAAACAGAAAATTAATAAAATAAGATAGATGCCACTGTATCAAATTAATGACTTTTCATTACCAGGCTAAATTAATTATTATGTCAAATTTTCTTGCAAATTATTACTTTCCTAGAAAAGATCTTTAACCAAAATATTAAGCTAGACATGGTGGTACACGCCTATGATCCCAACACTTGGGAGGGAGGCTAAGTCAGGAGGATTGCCATGAGTTCAAGACCTACCTGAGCTACAAAATGAGTTCAAGGCCAGCCTGAATTGCATTGTGAGACCCTGTCTCAAAAAGATAAAAACAAAATATTTATATGACAACTAAATTTTGTGTGACAGGTGATTGGGTCCTATACACAAATAGGGACAGTGATAGAGATAGCTAAGAAGGACATTACTGGGACAAGTAAGAAATCTGAATCTGATTATATGCTTGATAATGCTCTTCTATCAGCATTGGATTTGGTAAGTGTAATAATGCTGTTATATTTATATAATGTTTTGGTAAGTATAATAATGCTGTTTATTTTTATGAGTGGAGCTGGAAATAGCTCAGCAGCATAAGCATCTGCCTGGCAAGCGCAGGTCTGGAGTTCAATCCCCAGCACCACAAATGTATTCTTATGTATATACCCAGTCCTAGGCTGCCCCTGGGCACAGCTCCAAGCAGGTGTGCTGGCTGGGGATTTTGTGTGGCCAACCCCCAGCAAGGCCCCTGAGGAAAAGGGTTCTGGGGAAATAAAAGAAGTGTCCAGAGCTTTCCAGGAGTAGAGAGGATGCAGAGGCGGTTGTTCTACTGGGCGGGATAGTGCACGCCTGCAATTCCAGTACCTGGGGAGGTTGAGGCAAAAAGATAGCTGCAAGTTCAAGGCCACCCTACGCTACACAGTGAGTTGAAGGCTAGCCTGAACTGCATTGTGAGTGAGACCTGTCTCAAAAAGAAAAAGAAAGAAAAAGAGGTGACAGTTCTACTTCAAGCTCCAAGATATTAAGAGTCAAGGACCACTTTTTTTTTTTTTTTCCCTTTTTCCAGTACTGGAATTTGAATCCAAGTGTGCTTTACCACTGTGCTACATATCCAGAATTTTTTATATTTTGTTTGTTCACTGTTTTTTTGGGACAGGGTCTCACTATGTAGTTCAGACTGTCCTTGAACTTACCATGTAGCCCAGGTTGTCCTCCTTGCAGCAATCCCCCCCTGCTGGGATTACAGGAATCCTCCACCATGTCCAGTCTGTACTCAATTACTTGATAATGCTAAGCTGCCCAGGCTGGTCTTAGATTTGCTATTCTCCTGCCTCAGTCTCCTGACTACAGGAGGCCACCTGATTACAAGCATGCATTACCCCACAGCTTGGCCATTTTTTACTCAGGCACAGATGTTACCAGAACAGAAAGGGGGAGTGGGGAAGCTTGGGAAACTTAATTTTAACAGCTGATGAATTTAGTTAAAGGGTCATAGATAATGTTAAAGGGTCATAGATAATTTCAACTCTTCCTTCAGGCTTGAAATGTTTGAAACTTAAAAATTACAAATTTTTGAAATTTGGGGGTATTAGTAGCATGTCATCCCTACTAAGTAGATTTAAGGAATACACAAAGAAAAGGGACTAATACAAAAAGACTACCCACACTACCATCTGGGGAAAAACCAAAACCAACCCAAAGCAGAATGAATCCAGACTGGTCATGCTACGGAGACCACAAAGGGTCCCTAGTCGGCAAGACAGAAGCCCTCATCCTGCTGAGTAACAGCTACTACAAACATTTGACAGATCTGACACAGAGAGGATGAAAATCCCATGGGTTATGCTATTTTACAGATCAAGAGGTCAATTATCTGAAAGGCTGAGCGACCGTACAAGGCTAAAACTGATATCCTAACAACAAATTCAGTGGATTACTGGGTTACAGAAATTGGATTAACTCTGGAAATCTAAGAAATTAACCTTAGTTTAGCCTTTTCCATGGTACTTTTTCATTACAGACTTCTACAATCAACTTTTATAACCATGTGTTTACTTAAAGCCTTAACTGAAATCTGAGTTTTCTAATTAATTTGGCTCAAGTGCATCCAAGTACTTAAATGTTATGCTGAGATCTATAAAGTATACATTTATTGCATACTATCTCCTTTAAGGCTTTTCCTATACATAAGTATACTTGTACATTGGACACTCATATGACACAAAGCATGCTGATTTTAAAACAAAGAAAATCATATAAATTATAAAGAAAAACAATTAAATTCAAGCCTTAAACCAGATGCAAAAAGCTGAGTATGGGGCATGTAATGGTGATCCCAGCGCTTGGGAGGCAGGAGGATCCATCACCTGGAGTTCAAGGTCAGCCTGGGCTACATACAAAGCAAGTCTAAGGCCAGCCTGAAATACACAATGAGACCCTGTCTCAAAAAAATAAAAAAGCCAGGTCTGGTGGCACACACCTACAATCTCAGCACTCAGGGGGCTGAGACAAGAGTATCACTAAGGGTTTGAGGCCAGCCTGGCCTACAATAGCAAGTTAAAAGCTAACCTAAACTATACAGCAAGACCCTGTCTCAAAAACAAAACAAGGCGTGATGGCACATGCCTGTAGGCCCAGCACACTGGAAGCTAAGGCAGGAAGCTTGTGAATTTGAGCCCAGCCTGGGCTACACAGGGAGGGAGATCTTGTCTCAAAGAAAGAAAGAAAGAAAGAAAGAAAGAAAGAAAGAAAGAAAGAAAGAAAGAAAGAAAAAAAAAAAAAGCCACACACAGAGACATACAATAGTCTCAGAAACACAATCTCTTCCCCCTTCTGGCACAAAAAGTTATCACCACCACACACTTTTCAGACCCAATCACTAGAACCACTTTGAAAGGTCCCACCCTGAGCCTATCTCGGGGGT